ATATATATATATATATATATATTGAATTAAATGTGTTAAAAATATATTCATTTCTTTGGGACAAAGTCTGTATTATTGTGATTATCATTTTTTTTAAACAAGTTTCATATTAAGATTATATCTGCACATTGATGTTAATTTCTGACAATTTTGGCTCATTTAGAGAACAAATAGGACATAGAAGGAACTGTAGTCAACGAAAAAAAGTGACATTGATATTGACACACTGCTTATTCTGCATTTAAGAAAATTAATTCTTTTCGATGATAACAGTTAATATTCAGTTTAATATTGAAATATATGAAATCAAAGCATTCTTGGTTTTGCGAAGCAAACCAAGCAAGAATTGCGAAGCAATTCTCCGGGGGTTGGCGAGCGTCAGCGAGCAGGGGGCGGAGCCCTCTAGTCGTATAAAAAAAACTTAAACCATGTGATAGATTTTACTGCATTGAAAACTTAATTCACTTCCGAAATAAACAAATAAGAAATAACAGTCACAATAACGTAAGAAATAACATTTTCTACTATAATAGGTGCCTATTTTTGATGCGCTTGAAACATGTCGACTGTTATTTCTTATTTGTTCATTTCTGAAGTGATTGAGGCTTTCAATCAGGTAATATCGTACCACTACAGTTTCTTGGGATTATTTATTTAATCATGTAATAGGTCATTTTATTAACTGCTTCATATGCCTACAATCCTGGTTTTAGTAATTAGTTGATAAGGTAGTTGAGATATTTTATTAATTATTCAGGGCAAGAACTAATAGTTGATCATCCTCAGTTTGGCTACTTACAATGTCTTTTTTCTTAAATGATATTTTGAGTCATCACACAAAATTGCAAAATTTTTATCCTCTTAACGCTCAGTAACCACTATATCCTATGAATATCCTAGTAACCGCTATATCCTATGAACCACTATACCACTATCTTTTTAATTTTAAGTCTTAATTGTTGCTGTTAAGTGGCGGCTAAAGAGAGAATTACAGCTATTTATCATTTTATTTTCCCTAATTTATTGGTAAAAATTTAATCATCATGCTGTTTCTGTACACTTGTCTGCTATTTAAACCTGTTTAAGGTTTTTGAATGTTTCTGAAACTAACTATTTGCAGATTTAATTGTTATACTTGCTTTAATGTAAAATAGAAAATAAGTGATTCCTGTGAATATTTTGCAAATATTACTTATAAAAGTATTTACTAACTAAAATGTTAGTGGATTTTATTTATATTAACTATATAAAAATATGAGAACCTGAAATTTTTGAAAGTTGCATAAATCACATATTTTAATGATTCATATTTAATTTTATGTGATATATTTAATATTATACAAATACTATTTAATATTTAATATTATACAAATATTTAATATTTAATATTATACAAATATTTAATATTATACAAAATATTAAATTGTATGCGGCAATAATAATAATCACAGTCAAGCTTTGTCAGATTAAATTTCCCGAATGCAAGCAGAGGCCTATTGAATCTCCAATTGACTTATTAAATAGAAATTAGATTATTCAAGCACAATCGAAGGGCTTTGGTTATATAATAAATCGTATTTTCAAATAGAGTGCTTTTGGTGAAAAACACCACAATTTTCATGCACACTTTCAGAAATTTTGAGTACTTTTCTTCCGGAAGGAAAAATTCTAGAAACTTGTAATTATCTCGAAACAGTATTAGGAGCAATTTGTTATTAAGGCTGTTTTTTGAAGCCACTGCCGTGGCATGAAATTATGCTTTTTGCAAATTACATACTATTTTTGAAACTGCTGTATGTTTGTAACAGCTACTCATGAATTTTATGTCAGGTTTAGCCGATCTTTGTCTAGGTCACTATATCTTTATTCTAAAAATGGAGCAAAATGTGAGGAAAGGGATCAGTTTCGAGAAAATGAAAAGCGTTTGTGGTCTAATTTATTAACATGTTAAAATTGACATCAATTTTGCATTATCTGGGTGCACAAAAATTTGCAAAAATTGAGAATAAGGTATTGATTTTGGCAATTTCATCTAGGGAAAAAATTTCGCCAAATTGGTGATTTTTAGAAAATTTAATAATTTTTAAAATATTTAAGTTTACTTCTCCGTTCTAAAACCAAGACAATTCTTCACGGCCAGATGGCACATATAGTTCAAAATTATAGTTATATTTCAAGTGTAAGGCACTTAAGCTGCCACGGTGAAAGAGCTTCGAAAAATCATGTTGAAATGTGCTTTAAGCCTTTCAACTGAACTCAAAAATATTTTTATTGTAATAAGACTGCAGCGTCTTAAATATCATATTTAAGATAATTGGAAACCTAGAAGAGTATTATGCGTTAACACTTAATTTATACTTACAAGAATTTTTTTTAGGTGTTTGCCTATTAGGGTTTTGACAAAGTGTTAATTTAGGATTCTTCCCACATTAAAAAAGCCAAAATACGAGGGTAAAGATCAAATGATGCGTGTTTGCATCTAAACCGAAGGCCAAAGAAAAAGTTGTTTAACTAGTTCGAAGTCATGAGGAACAACAAAAAAGGAATTCCTTGTAAAATGAAATGGCTTTATAGAAAGGAGCTTTCGTGTCAGTCAGACATTGTTATACAACAGAAAAATAAATATCTCTTGAATTTAAAACTATTTTTAAATCATTTCTTCAAGGCTGGATCATAAAACAGGACTTTTGTTATGTAAGATTTAGAAATTGGTTTTTTTCTTTCATGAAAATTTATTTTAACGAAGGAATATTCTGCAATGTTTATTGTACTCAGTTTTTAGATTTAAAAAAAAGAAGAAGAAAAAACAGTAAAAGAAGAGCACGAGTTGTTATTTACCAATACCTAACATTGGATATTTTAACCTTTGAAATAATCCAAGTTTTCATTTTTTACTAAACTAGAGGGCTCCGCCCCCTGCTCGCTGACGCTCGCCAACCCCCGGAGAATTGCTT